CGGCTCCGTGGCGCAGTGGCTTAGCAATGAGTTACAGAGCTAAAGGCCGCGGGTTATAATCCCGCACGGAACAAGTATTTGTATGGCCTACAAGTAATTGTTCCGGGTCTGGATGTTTGTCCTTCTGAAATTTATGTATGTAAACTACCCCCACGATAGAGGAGAATATCCTAGTGTGGAGGTAACGTTTTGTTTAAATAAAAATAAAAAGTACGCTTTAAATAATATTATATTCACAGCGTCTGTACACCGGGCACACTTACAGGTTACCATATTCGCTCGACAATGACCCGTGTTCCCTCATCATATCATCATCTTCTCCGAGATCGTTAGTTACAAAGTGCTCTAGGTTCAAATTGAAGGTGCTTTAAATACTAAGTTTGTGTTTTCAAGTACTATTTTTGCAAGCTACGAAACTGTTATTCGTATTGTCATCATCATCTTTATTTGAATGCATTGTACTGCAAGATATGCATCTGGTATATCTTCCGAGGGAGGATTAGGTTTAATTGCTACACTTGGCAGGCGTTACTGCAATCGCTGTAATACATTTGTTGTGATATATATGATCCCATTCTCATGGAATTAGGATACTTCGCCCTGTAAATTTATTGCACCTGATCACCATGGTAACTGCTTCCCATTACTAATGTTCGGGATATAGGGTTCGTAATTCGAACGAAATTTCTACCATCAGTCGGTCGTCAGAGTCTCATCTTGCCGGTAGACTTCAACTTTTTATAATAAAAAAATTTGATAGAACGTGTTACAGGCATATTAAATGAAGAACCGTGGTGGCTTAGCTGTCGGCATTAATCTAGTAATTTTAAGTGCTGATTTACCACTTGTTTGTCGATGAAAAAATGATCGTGAGAAAATATACACGTTTAAAGAATAAAATACTATGAGAACGCTGTTGCGCTGCTAAAGTGAGTGTTGCCAACACTCACGTAAGAAAAGCAGCAGACTAATTTATTACTAAAGACGGACTACAGACTAATTGAAATTGGAGGGAGGCCTTTGCCCAATAGTGGGATGTTATTGGAATTTAACCTATTTTATTAACGTGACATGTTATTGTAAGTGTTTATTTATTATATGAAAATGACGTAATTTCTTATTCCTCTTTTATTTCAAATAAATCGACTTCTGCAACAACATGACTCCTAAATCGAAAGATTAAGTAGACTGATTTACATTTCAGTATATTGAAACTGAAGAGACAAAGTATATACTATAGCTATAAAAGCTCTACAACGTAGAAGCGTTAACATATAAAATTAAACCTCAATGAGATCATAATTATAGAAGAAAAAAAAACATCTTATTTAAAAAAAATGCAATTGTTTTCGAGGTTCATACACTTTCTATAAATAAAATTCTTCGTTTTTTAGCAGAACATTTTTTTTATTCAATGTTAATAATAACTCAAAATAATAGCACTCCTAGGATATCTTAATAGCTCAATTACTGTTTGAAATAATGACGAAAATAAGACCATGATCTAATATTTAGCTTTTAGATATTGAGATAGTTATCTGATAAGTATCGTTCGAATTTATTTTAACTTTCATATCAGATGTATCGACTTATAGTCAGAAATAAGTTTTAGATTCGGACTATGCTACATTCGAATAAGCACATTTAGTTTTTTGATTAAAGGAAGTATCGAAAGCTAATTTGTGTTCTAAACAACAGTTTCCGAAGTTTCAGATGAATGATAAAGTTAATTTCTAATAAATCAATTGTTTGAATTTGCTACTTCTAGTAATAGTGTGATTTTCCATCTTAAGCTTAATTAAATTTTATTTTTCAATAATGTATTACCGATGCTAATTTAGAAGAATAAACTGTAACAAAATTGACTGTTATGTCCATATGATTTATATAGAAAAGTTTCATTATGACAGCTCTTATTTTAAGTAGACTTGTGTGTCTACAACCCATGTACGACGACTGCCTCGTTGATCTAGAGTGCGTGCGGGATTCGAATCCGCGATCGTATAGTTGCCGCTTCGCATCTCGGGTGGGGCAGTTATCGAACTTTTCTCTAACCTTAGTTATTGAATTTTTAGTTAAAAACTATTACAGTATAGATTTAGGAAGTTTGTGGCGTATTACCTTCGTGCTTCGTAAAGTATGTAAAGCCGTTGAAAAATCCCACTTGACTTGATCTCTCTCAGGTCGAGTCGGATTGCCGTACCATCAGCAACTATGAAAGTAAAGGAATAATATGCACCTGTGCTAGCGCACATATTGGTGATCTCTACTCCTGTCCTGCGAAGATGGCTTGTTTCTGACGGACGAAAATTATATTATTAGTAATATAACAAACATAGGCCTGCTAAACATAGGCCTATCCCATAAATTGCCCAATAGTGGCAACGCTTATCAGGCGAGTTGGCGACCGCAGTATTTTTTTTGTGGCCTATCTCCTGTTCCAGATTCCCTCTGTCGTCTTTTAAGATACCCACGCGACTCTATACGGGGCAGTAGATATTTTTACAATCAAAACACGATATTATAGAGCTAATTGTATTTATTGATCATAGATGTCGTTGTTGTTGTCGTTATTTTGTAGAAATAGTGGTAGTAGTAAATGGTAATAGGCGGGTGGGTAAGTGCTAAACTTATGTGGAGTTTCCCAAGGGAGCTCGTTGCAAAATAAACGCTGTCCTTTATATTGGTATATTATCTATGCTAAATTTGCAGCTAGCGTGTGAATGCGATGACCATCATTTAGCCAACCCCCTTTAATCTTTTACAAAAAAACAAAGTTAACAAAAAACAAAAAAAAATATCGCGCGCTTTAGCATGACCTGACTCTACGGTACCTGCTAAGGCTATAACTACGATGGCCAAAGCATTTGGCTTATATCGTTGGCACATATATTGGTCATCGTGAAGAGGAGCCTTAATCCAATTAAATGTGGTGACGATGTTAGAGAATCCGTCACCTTACTTCGACCGCTCTGTAGCGCAGAACTTTATCATTAAGTTGCGGCGGTTCGAATCCCGCACGGGCCTATTATTTGGGTATGCAAATAATAGTTCCAGGTCTGGATGTTTGGCCTTGTGAAACTAATGTATGGGAACTGCGTCCACGATATTGAAGGAAATCCAAGTGAGACGGAGGAGTTTTTTAAATGTAAAATTTTTGTATATTTTGTATATTATGTTGCTATTATGTTATAGCCAAACGCTCACCTAGAAATTATATTAAAATTGTTATTTACATTCTAAAAAGTCAATCTTCCTAAATGTCAGCAAATTAAATAATGCTTTTGTTTTTGTTTCAGGTAACTTCATCTAAAGGGCGTTAAGACAAGGAACAATTGTCATCGCTTCCTCGTTTCCAAAGTAAATGTTGAACAGTATTCTTGCACAACCGATTTTAAAAAGTGAAGGCGACCAGCAATTGAATGTCACTTATTACTCGTTTTAAATTCCGCATAACCTTGCTCGGCCCACTGGTCAAGTAACAATCTATAAATAAAATTGTATTCATTAGCAATTAGGGTTGTTAACTACTATTTGTGATTTTTAAGAGAATCAGGCGTTATTTTGCAGAAATCCATTACATTACACACCACCTAGGCAATAGACTCAGAGTCTATTTATAGAAGCGAAAAATGTGTCGTAGCAATAGTACTGCCTTTCCTAGTGTATGAGGGTAGTGGTGGTAGAGTTAATGGTGTTGGTGAAAGTGCACGCAATTGAAGAAAGATGTTCTTAAAACTAGGTAAGTTTGTACGCGTATTTTAAAGAAATACCTACAGTATATACTCCGTTTAAAGTTATAAGAATACTCCGTTATTACAATAGGTATGCGAATAGTGGCATTTGAAATTTTATCGGAAGCCACTTGCGAGTATCCCTATTCCGCTTAAATGTGCACTAAACTTTTTGCACGAAGATATATACTCGAATGGAATAAATAATGTTTTATATCTATTTTTGCTTAAAATATCTTTTGAATCGAATTGAAACACGAAATTGCTGAATAGCCGCGGACAGACAGAGTGAGCCGCACCGAAGCTGCGACGCGGGGCATAATCTCGGTCGGTCAAGCCTTTTTTGATTTTTGCCGCTGCTCAAAGGTGTCTCGATCCGTTTGTAGCGTTCACTTAAGGAAAAAATAGGAACAATCGAACAGTGCCTTGCTCGCTCACAAAATGCATAAGAAGCTGTGTGTGACCCTTCAATTTCCATGTCCAATCTAATGCATTTTTTCACTATTTCCTATATTTATTCAATTAATAGACGTTTACTAAAGCCACAAATAAAGTTAATTTTTTTTATACTGCCCCCCTCCCGTTTTATGAGGGGGTCACCTACAGGTGACACTGGGCATTGTGTTATACGACTTATGTGGTTTTTAGTATTATTTCAGGGGAGTAAAATACAGATTTTTATTTATTTATTAGAATTTTTATTTACAAAATCGTTAAAAAAACAACAAAGAACTAAATCTAACCAATCTTACGCCTATTTATTGTAGAACATATACCAACATTTAGATGCAAACCGATATTACAATTACTGCACATTTTTCTAGTGCGTTGATGACAATACCCGCATCTTCGCTGTGAAACAGTCGACTTGTGCATGATCATCTGCAGTTCCTGCGTTTCTCACTTCATTAGGCACTCTCAGTTGCAGAGGGGCAAGCAGAATTTCGGGTCGTAGGTTTTCCGTACATTGCTAGGTAATTTGTCACCACATTTCGCCGGAAATCACAGTAGGACCAGTTATTATCTGACTGCCCCCATTTTGATCAGCCATGCATTTTGGCAAGCTGCATCTAATCCAAATGCAAAGAGAGGTAACCACCATTTTTTACCCCGAAGAGCTACTCTCATAGAGTCAACATTTTCGTCAAGACGGTCGACTCCGCCCATGTATTTGTTGTACATTTTTATAACAGCTGGGCAATCAACTTGTATTTTGGACCTTTTTTTATCAACAAATCCAATTCGATCTACTTTTGTGATAGGATCTCATCCATGGCAGTTGGATAAAATGGTCACAATGTTGTTGTCATGCCATTTTGCAACAATAATCCCTTCAGATACTTTATGATATAACTTTCCTCTGGGTTCTTTCTTCATCTCTTTGGAATTTGGAAGTTTGCAGTTCTCCAAGCGATTGTCGCGAACAGTTCCAGTGCCTCCTATATTCTGATCTCGCAAATATTTTATCAAAGGTAAACCAGTAAAAAAATTATCTAAATACAAGTTATATGGTCCCAAATCTTGTGCAATGTTTCATGAAGTTCTAAGACAACAGCAGCACCTAAGCACAAGTCAGATTGCATCTTGAGACTGGGACCAGACGCACCCTGATAAGGCTCACAATTTACTAAATACCCATGGCGAGTAGCGGCTGACCAAAGCTTGTAACCAAATCTAATGGGTTTTCCGTGTATGTGTTGCTTGGTACCGTACCTCCCAAAATATGGTACTATAGTTTCGTCAATCGAAATATGAGAGGAGCCAGCTCTCCTAAAGTTTGCTGTGAAATTTTTATTCAGTTTTGTGAAATATTCTCGAACTTTAGCAAATTTGTCATTGGATGGCAGAGATGTACTGTCGCAAAGATGAATATATTGCTGAATTTCGAAAAACCCATTACGCCTAATGCTAGATGCTACTAAGTCATTGTGTGTGTCACTTTTCACTTCCCAGAACATCCTCATATATTTTGGCGTCAAATACTCTGTTAGTAACAGTATCGAAATATATACTCTAATTTCCTCCGTAGTTACATTCAGAGTATGATTCCTTTGTAAGGCACAGAGATTGGACATCTCAACTATATAGCTAATCAGTTCATCATTATAAAGCAATTCAAAACATTGGACAGGAGTTATCTCCTCCTGTAAGTGGGAAAAAACTTCTTCATCTCGGTCTCCTTTACCACAAAACTTTGTGCCATTTTTTACTGTATTTTCTTTTTTCTTCATTTTCTTTCGGGCAGGCATGGATTCTTCTTCTTCTTCCTCGTCAAGATTTTCTCCAGACATGGAAAGGTGGTTCTGTGTCTCAACTTGAGATCGAAGCATGCGACTAGGAAGATGAAGGATATTAGCTTCATTTTCATCAGCACTGTCTTCATCAGTTACATCGCCGTCGTCAGGAGGAAATAAAATTATATCACCTTGGTCTTCTTCGGCCTGCAACACCTCGACAATCTCACCTAACGTCAACCTATAATAAAAAGAAACAATTTGTATAAGCACAGCGATATGACCAACATATAACAAAGTTTTGTAAAAACAGTAGAAATAGATAAAATAATGCCCAATGTCACCTGCAGGTGACACCACACATTTTAGGTGTTATAACAATACCACTTTTAGTTTATATTTTCAATAAATACTTGTATATTATAGCTTACATATTAATTTTTAACATTTGATAAGGAAAAAAACACAATACTTACGGTTTGGGCATTTTATTTTCACTTTTTCATGCAATAGATCACAAAAACGCAAGTTGATGCAATTACGCGCAAAATAACTTTGTGACATTGACAGTTGACGTATGGTGTGTGTTGCCAAATATAAAAATTGTCAAGTGGTACTCTTTGACATTACTACCAATGTGGTAGAATTAAGAAATAATATTTCCATGTGGTATAAAATAATGATTAAACTTCTGTCACCTACAGGTGACACTGGGAATTGACGAGTTAAAGTTTATACAATTAAATGAAAATTACAGGCTTCTTTGGGGTGCATAGGTTTTAGTTTTAGATTCGATCTAAGCATCTGCACATTATCTGAGGATTAATGTAGATGTCTATGGGCCACAGTATCCACTCTCAGTATACCTCTGTTACTGACCAGGTACGAGTCTTCTACCTCTGTGTGCTCGTTTGTCACCCTTAATGTATATTATATATAAAATCAGTGTAAAAATAATATCATGGTTGGGTAACGTATTTGAAGTAGATCAGCATTGCGAAATTACTTCTTTATTGAAGATAAGCTATAATTCCATCTAAAATTTATATTTCCTACTATCCCTAGTGCCTAGTGCCATGAAGTGGCAGTTGAGAATATCCACTACCCCATATCTGCCCGTGGGTGTCGTAAGAGGCGACAGAGAGAGACAGGCAGGGGATGGGGATTAGCATCTTCCTGACAATAGCAATTATACAATAAAAAAACTGCGGTTGCCAACCCGTTCGCCAAACGTGGCAAATATGGGAAACATTTCCCCCTGAGCTACGACACAAACAAACGGCCCCCAGTCCTCGGCGGCCCCGCTATTCTTGGCTGCGGTGGCGAACTTGGTAACGGCGGGACAGGGGGTTCTGTTGAATCATTACGAATCGAAAAGGCTTGACGACTTCCAGCCTCCGGCATAAGGCGGTTTCTTTAAAGACCACATACATACCCTGTAGAAGATGGTACAGAAGACCAAAGAGTACAATCTGCCACTTTGCATTGCGTATATGGGCTATCAAAAAGCCTTTGATTCCGTCAAAATTTAGGCGGTGCTACAGTCCTTTCAGCGGCGTCAAATTGACTGTCGGTATATCGAAGTGCCACAAAGCTTTGTGCTTTGCTTTGCTTTGATTCCGTCAAAATTTGGGCGGTGCTACAGTCCCTTCAGCGGCGTCAAATTGACTGTCGGTATATCGAAGTGCCACAAAGCTTTGTGCTTTGTGGCATACCTTGGGGGAGGCCTATGTTCAGCAGTGGACTTGTGAAGGGCTGTAATGATGATGATGATGATGATGATATCGAAGTGCTGAAGTTTTGTACAGTAGAGCTACGATGGTTATGGGAGTGCAGATAGGTGTAAGACAAAGTGACGTTATATCCCCAAAACTCTTCACCGTTTCATTAAAAGACGTTTTAAAGCTACTGAATTGGAAAGGATACGGTATTTACAACAATGGCGAGTATGTCACTCACCTTCGATTTGCCGACGATATAGTCCTTATGGTAGAATCGCTGGAGGACCTAAGAAGAAAGAAGACCTCAATAGTGTCTCTCAACGGATAGGTCTTAAGAAGAACGTGGACAAAACAAAGATCATGTATAATGTCCATGTCACACCTAAGCCGGTAGTTGTTGGGAGCACTAAGCTCGAAGTTGCTGAAGAGTATGTTTAATTTTTAATGTTTTAAATGCTGTCCAACTTCGACCGAGAGCAGCATTTTGCAGCACATATATAGTAAAGACGAGGGCTCTTCTTTATCGACGCAACACGGGCGCATGGCACAGTACAGGAAAAACCATCCTGCTAAAATTACTGCTGGTACAACAAGGACCGCGAGAGAGAATAAACACCAATATGCAACGTCAGCAAGAGAAGCGACTGCAGCGATAACTTGCAGCAGTGCAAGTTGAAAGTGTGGAATGATTACACGACGTTAACTAAGCGCGCGGTAGAGTTTATAAACGGCAGTCTACAGGACAACCGCAGCTGGCTCTGGTAGATGGTGTTGTCTGTTTTCTCGCAGGCGAGATTAGACGAGATACTGCCAGTTACTGAGATAGCCACACTTTCGGATAAAACGATGGAAAATTTAAAAGCGTCATCACTGTTGGAAAATTTAGAATGAACCTTTAACTTGTGTGTTTGTTCCTACAAATCCGAAGGTCGACTACTAACGGACGCAGATGACAAAATTCAACTTTCGCAGTGGCGCAGTGGCTTACCAATGAGTTGTAGCGCTGGGAGCCGCGGGTTCAAATTCCGCACGGAGCAAGTATATATACGGTCTACAAATAATTATTCCGGGTTTGGATGTTGATCCTTGTGTAATTTATGTTTGTAAACTGCCTCCACATTACAACAGAAAATCCTAGTACCTATGAGGGTAACGTTTTGAAATAAAAAACATCCATCCAGTGGCGTCAGAAGGCAGACATATTGCACACGTTTTACTAAATGTAGTGAATAATATCCATAACTAAGATTGGGTGTGTGAGAGTGCAGTTACCGGTACCGTTACAGCCTAACATAGACCTCGCATACGACGTCGATCGACGTCGTTGACCATCTCCTGGTTTATTTTTCGCTGCTGCCTTTCACGACACTCACGGGACACTATGAAGTAGTGGATATTCTTACACCGCCACTCTACGAAGAGTGCAGTGCTGACGGCAAAAAAATCAGTTATTATAATTAATCTTACGTGGTAGAGCCATGCTGCAGTTATATTAGTAGTATAGTTGTAGCACGAATGGGTCGGCTCGACCGGGGAAGGACCACGCTCTCACAGAATACCAGCGTGAAATAGTAGCTTAATGCTGCTGTATTTCGTATGGTGAGTGTAGAGAACCGGTGACCCTTTTTACTGGAAACGAGGCATTCCATCTTAGTCCTCACGGGAGATAACGCATCTGCATTTTGATTCGTAATCGAGGATAGATGTAGATGTCTATGGGCCACAGCAACCACTTACCATCAGGTGGACTGTGTGCTCGTTTATCACCCTATCCTATAAAAAAAAAATTAATAAACAAACAAATTAAAACATTTGATTACTTTCTTACGGCTTACGGTCCACAGAGGTGAAAATGGGTCTAAATAAAATAATTCTGTAGTTGATCTGTTTATTAAGTTTCTTGATTTATTAAACTTCTTAGATTGTAGAAATCCTTTTCTGCCAAGAGAGAGGGAACCAACCTCTTAACTATTTGTTCCTCCCAACAGCATTGTGTGCGATGTTGTGTTCCGGTCTGAATGGTAAAGAGAGCCGGTGTAATTACAGGCTGTTGGGCATTCCACATTAGTTCTAAGAGGTGAAAACGCATCTGTAGGCTTTTTACTTGAATTTAGGTACAGACTGTGGTCGTCAATAATCATACATAGGTGCAATGTTTGTCACTCCAAATTTATAAAAAAAGCTTACGTATCATTGAGGACAAATGATTCTTATAAGCCTCATGATCTGATTCAACGATTTGAACTCAAAAAAGTGCACTAATAAACTACAGAGTACAAGCCTCTCCACATTTCTAAAAGGCTTGTATAACATAGAAGAGTTCACCGCGCTGCTTTAATGCAAATTAGTATACTCGATGATACGATCGCGAAATATTTTAAAATTTTCAAACATGTAGATTTTCTCTCGATATTTTTACGATTAAATTAGTGTTGCTCACGTACTTTGAAATGAAAGAGGACTGTACGCCACAACTATTAAAGCTCTTTTATAAAGTAACGTAAGTTACTTTATAAAAGAGCTTTAAAATGTATTAAGTAAACAGCGACAAGCGACTTCATTGTTTCATACTTGAGGAAACTTGAACTTTGCAAACATTTATTTCTCTAATTATTGCGATAGAATCCTGTATGGCGGAAAAACTTAAAAAAATTCTAAGTCTTAGAAAAATATTTAGTCTTATTTTAGAAATAAAACGGAACTTGTTTCCGACAGACGGACATATATAAGCTGTTCTTACTTTTATGAGATTAATTCACATTTACTTTGCCATTTGTGTTTTTTTATTTGCCATAGAAATAACCATGAAATATTATGGTGTCCCATAAATGGCAGTTCAGCAATCTAAATTTTTACCCAGATCGGGGAATAGCATCAAAGGTGCGAGATACCTAGTACTGCGATTGTTCAAATTTGACGAGGGAAAAACTCACCTGCAACGGGAGTAGCCCATGTATAGCAGTGAAGTTAGGAAATATTAAGAAGTAAAATAATAAATAAATATAAAATAAAGTTAAGATCCAATTCAAGATCCGTTTCATTATTGTTATTACTATATAGGCAGGAACACAAGTTGTTCCTGACTATATAATAATAATAATAATGAAACGATTTTCTGCTCTACATAAATACAAAAACGTGTGTTCATATCTTTGAAAGCGAGACGTATACATACCTGAAGGCTTTTATGACACGCGGGAGGCGAGACTAATAATGGTGTTTGGCGAGTCGTCTAGACACAAATATATATACTGTTATGATAGATATGAAGAATATCCACTACCCCATATCGATTCGTAGACTTTGCAAGAGCCTAAGGCGACAAATAGAAACAAATAAGGACATGGGCAGCAGCTTCTTCCTAATAGCATCCAGAAAATAAAAAAAAACTGCGTTTATCCACGCGCCTGCCATACGAGGCAACTATAGTAAATATCACCCTTACGAGGCAATATATGGAGAACCATTAGTCGAATTGGATAATATGTATTTTGAGAATAGATTACTTAATAATCATTAATAAAAAAACGCATTTAAAAAAAAACGTCTTAGTTTTTACAGTTCTGTAGTGCAGTGTTTAAGTGTTCGACTGTGGAACTTGGGACGTAGGTATGATCCTACATAAAACAATTATTTGTATGGT